GATACAACTTAGCAACAAAACAACAAACAAGACCCTGTTAGAAAGAAGACCAAGCTACAGAGGGGGAGAAAATGTTTGCAAACAACACATCTGACAAAGGCCTAGTATCTAAGATACCTATTCTAAAATATGAAATTCGGACAACAATTCAGTTAGAAAATTGGCAAAAGATAAGAACAGTCGTATCGCTGAGGAGGATGTGCAGGTAGCAAGTAAGCACTTAAAATATGTTCAACATTAGCCGTTAGGGAAACCACGTTAAAAGAACCATGAGATACCAAAACACACCTGTCAGAATGTTGAAAACAAATATACTACTGAGTGCCGGTTTGGATGTGGAAAACCAGGCTCACCCAGATATCATGGGTACGGATGTTAAATTGGCGGTTTCTTTAGAAGCCGGACATGCAGTTACCATGTGGCTCAGTAATAGCAGTCCTTGGCTTTTATCCCGTAGAAATGAAGACTAAGTTCACAAAGAAATCTGTACATGGGTATTTATTGTGGCTTTGTTTGTGATAGCCTAAAGCTAGAAAAGAGTCATATGTTCTTCCACAGATGAATGGCTAAAGAAACATACGTGGTGTCGGTGTCACGGAGCACGACGCTGCTGTAAAGAGGGAAGGACTGTTGACAGACCCTAGCCCCAGACGGCTCTCTAGAGAGTCCTGCCGGGTGCCGAGCCGACAGCTCATCCCCAAAGGCGTGGACGACATGACTCCATTTGTACAGTGCTGTTGCTGCGGCAGAGTTACAGGAATAGAGAGCAGGTTGGAGGTCGCCAGGGCTTGGGAGGCGGTGCTAGGGGGCTGGAGGAGAGTGGGTGTGGCTGTAAAGGCAGCAGAGGGGTCCTTGTGAGGGGAGGCTCTGTGTCGGTGTCACAGCGTGATCCTTGGGGGATGCTCAGGGGAGGCGACGCAGGTGCTCTTTGGATTCCTTACTGCCGCTGCATGCGAAATCACCATTGCTGTCCTGTCACCCAGTCGTGTCCGACTCCTTGCGACCCCCGGGCCACAGCAGGCCGGAGTTTGCCCAAGTTCATGTTGACTGCATTGGTGATGCCGCCCAGCCATCTCATCTCCATTGTCTCCAAGTAAAAAGTTTAAAAAAGTGAACCCCTGTTAATAGGTGCATGGTGCTATGCAGAAATGGGCTCAGCCAAGCCTTGTGCTGCCTTCCGGGGGTCAGACAGCCATCAGTTATCCCGTGAAGCAGGCTGACACTGCAGCTGCGGTGTGTGCCATCAGGGGAGGCGGGGGAACTCACCATGTGAGCTGGACCTGGTCAGGGCGGCTGGCCCAGGTGGACGGGTGCTGAGGCAGCTTTCATTACAGCACATGACTTTGCAGCAGTTACTGCAAATCTTCCTGCGTCAGTGTTGTCACCTGTGAAATGGGGATAACAGTAGAGCCTGAGCTTTGGGGCTGCGGTTAGTACAGATACTAAATGAGTTAGTTTGCAATGTGTTTAGGGTGGTGCCTGACATATAAACTCTGCTGGAGAGTTTGTTCACTGGCTAGAGGGTGCTTGAGGTGAGAGCAGAAGGATACATAGGACTGGCCCCTCCATGAAGAGGGGAGGGCCCGTTCCATGCCCAGGGAGCCTGGGCAGGAGCCAGGGCAGCCTCCTAGGGCCCAGAGGAGGGTGTGTGTCTGGGAGGAGCGGGAGAGGCTTGTCTGCTGTGTTGAAGAGTTTGCTGGCTAAATGTGATGAGAAGTGACTAAGGCCTTAATCCATGGCATGGGGAGAGGTGAGCATCAGGCCTGCCCTGGGAAAAGATCATGCTGGCTGCAGGGTGGAGACGAGATGCGAAGGGCCAGGGTGACGGTGCACGGATTGCTGAGGAAGTCACTGCAGCGCCCCAGTTTTCTCCCTGGGCATTTTTCTCGGATTAGCTCTACTCCTCATAGCTCTACAGAAGTATATTCGCAAGTCCCTGTGTCTGTTAAAGTGATTTGAAATGGTTTTAAATATGTTTTTGACAGTTTAAAAGGAAAAATAAGACTGTAGTGTTCATTTTTTTTATATGCAGAATTTCAGTTGCTGTATTACGGTTTAAATAGTCTTTTGTGATCAAGCATGGGGAGGGAGTTTAGAAACTAAAGCAGTTTAACACTGGTGTCCAGATTCCTTCTGTGTACTTACTCTATGCTTTCATAGATTCTTGACTATAGCAGTGTCATGCAATAAAAATACCTGTGCTGCAAATACAAGCCACAGGTTTAACTTTCAATTTCTTAGTAGCCACATTAAAAAGAAAGTGGTGAGATTTTAACCTATTATATCTAAAGTATTATTTCAGTGCACATGTTCGTGCTTAGTCTTATCTGACTCTTTGCGACCCCATGGACTGTAGCCTGCCAGGCTCCTCTGTCCATGGGATTGCCCAGGCAAAAATATTGGAGTGGGTTGCCATTTCCTCCTCTGGGGGATCTCCCTGACCGAGGGATGGAACCTGTGTCTCCTGCACTGCAGGCAGATTCTTTACTGCTGAGCCACTGGGGAAAGCCCATTTGTTTCATCATGGAATCAATATAAAATTATTAATGAAATATTTGGCATTCCTTTTGTCATGAAATCACAGGAATCCATTAGATACTTCTCCTTAGAGCCATGTTTCAGGGCTAGTGGCTGCTGGTCAGACAGTTCAGCTCTACAGGTTTCTGGGTTAATAAGAATAGTTTTTTAAAGTTATTGAATTTATAGAAATAGGAACCCACACAGACCTGATTTTAATAAACTTTGAAACAGAGTTGGTTGTTTTTGTTACAGAGAAAGCTGTGAAGTTTAGATGTATCGGAGGTGTTTGTGAAATGAAGTTTTTTAAACACTGTGAAAGGGTTAAGTTACAAGTTATCACTAACAGTTTTTGAGGGACTTCCAGGGACAAAATGGAGGAGCTGTGTTGGAACTTGCTGATGGAGGGCCCAGGACATAGTTTTACTTTAGAGCGATTTCTCAGTCTTGTACAGCCTCTAGCAAATTAATATCCATTGACGTATGTTATCACAAGTATTAAGTGCTTCCAGTGTGACCGTCACGTAAAGAAGTGAAGAATAGTGTCTGTGTTCTTTGCAAAATCTTAGTGTATGTGCTTTGCTACATCAAAATCAAAATGACTTTTGAATTGTTAATGCTTTTTTTAAAAAAAAAAAACAAAAAACTTTTAGTTCTTTACTCAAGAGCCACAATATTGTATTTGATCACCTTTGAGGACACTGCAAAGTTCTTAGCATAAACAGTTATTTTCATACTATTCTAACATGTACCTTGAAATAAAACTCTTGTTTTAATTAATATATTCTAACAGATCTCTGTATAATAGGCCATTTTTGGTAGAGGTAATCATGAAACATCAGTAAAGTTGCAAAGCAGTAAATATTTAAGATTTTCTTTGTAACTTAAGTGCTAGTTTTTGGTTATTCTACCATGACCAGATTAACATTGTTGTCGAAAGGCCTTGTTTATTGAACACTGAATACATCTCTCTTTTTACCTGCTTGATTAGGTCAACAGTCTGATATTTGACCACTGTTATCTGTGTATTATGTTCTACTTACTGCGTAAGATGTTCAGACCAGAGCTTTCAAGCTCCACCTTCTCTTAACTTCTCTTTAAGTTAGGTAATTTATACATCTTTTAAAAGTTGTTGTTCAGTTGCCCAGTCATGTCCGACTCTTTGCGCCCCAGCAATTTTTAATTGTTATAGCTCTTAGAGGTTACTTCTCCCCCACCCCAGCCCCACCCGGCCAGAGGAAAATATCCCGAGAACTAGAGAGTGCCTTGACCTTCAAGTCTTGTGTGCTAGATTTCAGCACTGAAAGTGGACCATGCATAACTTCCACTCACCTTTACTCATGTGTGTGCTCATCATGACAGAGCTGAGAAATCTCGTTTTACCAGGTTTACTGGATGAACTGCTCCTGTGATTCTAGCCTTCAAGTCCCTCACGCAAACCTTTCAAACCTTTTGCTGGTGTCTTGCTCACTTGTTATGATGTTGAGCCAGTAGGTAGATGCATTTAAAACACCAAGCTATTCGGGAGTTACATTGTTCTTAAGGTACGGAGTGAGAGCAGTGAAAACGCGTTCTTGCTTGTTAATTCTTTTCTGGGAAGAATTGCAAATAGTGACCTATGACCATATTTTCATGGCTGATATTTGACTATGGGCTTTGAAGCTTTAAATTTTAAAGTGATGAAAGGAGAATGGAATTCTACAGATGTTTAAATGACATTACTTTCACATTAGTATTTGCACCTGGTGAGATATCCAGAAGGAACATAATGTCTCCCTTTCATACCTGAAGCCTCAGCCACTGTTCCTTTCTCCTGTGGGCAACTTTCTCAGAACTCTCTCCAGAGGTGGTCTGTACACACACAGCCAGTTGAGTGCTACAGGTCAGCCCCTCCCACAGCTGCCTTTCTTTGAGGGGAAGCCCCACATACACCGTGGCTGTCGTTCAGTCGCTAAGTCGCGTCCAACTCGTGTGACCCCATGGACTGTAACCTGCCAGGCTTCTCTGTCCATGGGATTTCCCAGGCAAGAATACTGGAGTGGGTTGCCATTTCCTTCTCTAGGGGATCTTCCTGACCCAGGGATTGAACTCTGGTTTCCTACATTGCAGGTGGATTCTGTACCATCTGAGCCACCAGGGAAGCCCTTGCATATACTATAGTATATTGTAAACACTTCTCTGTACTTTGTATTTTGAAACAATGGGTCTGAGAGACTACTTTATACCATTACCTGAAGAAGTTCTTCATTCCTTTTTACAACTGCTTGGTGAAAATAGAATTATTAAGTGATCCCCAAAGACTTAACCCAGTAGAGTTAGCTATTGTTACAGTGAATGAAGTTGGTATTTTTTTTTTTAATACAGAGATCAGAAGTTTTCTTTAAATTGTTAAAGTACATGGTTTTTATTATATGTTGGGAAAATGTTAAAGCCATTTCTCCCCCGCCCCCCCCCTTTTTTTTTTCAGATAACCAGACAGCTAAATGGAGTCTGAGCAGCTGTTTCATAGAGGCTACTGTAGAAACAGCTACAACAGTATAACCAGTGTGAGTAGTGATGAGGAGCTTTTAGACGGGGCAGGTGTTATTATGGACTTCCAGACTTCTGAAGATGACAATTTGTTAGATGGTGACACAGCAGTGGGTAAGTTTGACATTACAGCTCTTAATATTTGTCATCATGAATGTCTACTGATAGGCATTGTTTTATTGAGGTTAAGTTTTGAGATGACTGTTTTGTTGTTTTAGTTTTTACTAATTTATTTGGCTGTGCTGGGTCTTAGTTGCGGCATACGGAATCTTTAGTTGTGGCATGTGAACTGTTAGTTGCGGCATATGGAATTCAGTTCCCTGACCAGGGGTTGAACCTTGAGCCCCCTGCATTGGGAGCGTGGAGTCTTAGCCATTGGACCACTAGGGAAGTCCCTATTTTTATTTTAATTGCAGTGATTCATGTAACCATTTTAAAGTGTACAATTCAGTGGAATTTGGTCCATTCACGGTGTTGTGCAGCTACACTGGTGTCTGCTTTTAATTTGTTGTTTAGTCATTCATTTCTGTCCAACTGTTTTGCAACTCCATGGACTGCAGCCCACCAGGCTCCTCTGTCCATGGAATTTCCCAGGCAAGAATACTGGATTGGATTGCTGTATTCTTCTCTAAGGGGTCTTCCCCAGCCCGGGGATCAAACCTGAGTTGCGCGCATTACAGGTAGATTCTTTACATTGAGCCCCCAGGGAAGCACAAAAGAAAACCTCGTATATGGATAAACTTAAAAATTCCAGTATAATACACTGCAGAGAGGGACACAAACAACTGTAGTTGAAGCAGAAAAGCAAAACTTAGGCGGTATATATTATACATAGAGAGAGACAGAGACATACAGAAAGATTTATCATGAAAGATTGGCTCATGTGATGGCGGAGGCTGAGAAGTCCCACCATCTGTCAGCTGCACAGTGGGAGCTCAAGAGAGTTGGTGGTGTGGTTCCAGTCCAGATCCAAAGGCCTGGGAACCTGGGGAGCCAGTGACTTGAGGCCCAGTCCGTACCTGCGGGCCCAGGCCCCGTGGTACTGATGTCTGAGGGCGGCTCCAGCAAGAGCAGAGTTTTCAGTCTGCCAGTTCAAATGCTCATCTCTTCAGGAAAGGTTCTCGCAGACGCACACAGACAGGATGCTATCTGGGCATCTCTTTGCCCAGCCTGGTTGATACATAAAATTAGCCCGCACAATAATCACCATGTCACAAGCATGGAAATGAATGAATTTCTACAAAGTAGTTACACACATATACCTTAATTAAGAAATAAAACATGACCAGTTTACCAGTAATCCGCCCATGTTCCCCCTTCTAGTTTCAGAGGTAACTATTATTTTGATTTCTGTCACCACAGATTACATTTGCAGATATTTAAACTTTATGTAAAAGGATTTATACTATATATACTCTTTTGAGTCTGGTATCATTTACTTGTTTTTTGATTCATCTATGTTGTTGAATATAGCAGTAGTTAATTTATTTTTATTGCCATGTAGTATGCCATTTGTAAATACACTTCAGTTTATCTGTTCTATCCATCATATGTTGTGAAACATATTTAGATTTTTTAAATTAATTTTTCTTAGGTTTTGGCTATTAACAATAACAGTGCTGAGAATTTTCATAGTGCATATCATGTACACAGTTCTGCAGGATTCACCCCTCGAGATGGCCCCTTAGATGACGGGTGTGTGGGTGTCAGATCATGTCACGGGTGGTTACAGTCTGTACACTGTGTCAGCAGTGTGAAAGAGTTCTGCTTGCTTCACATCTTCACCGATACCTGATGTTATCGGTTTCAAAATTTTGGCTCTTCTGATGTGGGTGCAGTAATCTCAAATTTGGGGTTTGATTTACATTTGCCTAATGGCTTATGAGTTTAAATGCCTTTTGTGTGTTGTTTGACTTTTTAGATAGCGTCTTTTGATGTTCCTGTTCAGTCTTTTGCCTAAGAGTTCTTTATGCATTCTGACTGAGTCCTTTGTTAGATTTATGTATTGCAAATGTTTTCTCTTGCTCTTAATAGAATCTTTTGATGAAGATGTTGTCAATTTTAATGAAGCCCAGTTAATGTTTTCCTTTATTCTTTATACTTTTCCTGTTCTGTGTTAAGATAGCTTCCCTTACCTCAAGGTCAAGAAGGTATTCTCTCCTTATCTCCTAGAAGTTTTATTTTTTGTGTGTCCTTTACATGTAATTTTATAATCTAACTGCAGTTAATTTTTATATGTGATATAAGTGTTCAGATTCATTTTTTCCTATATGCATAACCATTCAGCCCATATATTGAAAAATCTTCCATTATCCAGTGTATCGAAGTAACATCTTTCTCTTCTATCAAGTGGATGTATTTCTATAGGTCTGTTTCTGGACTTTTTCCTGTTACATTGAAATACTTGGCTATCTTTGTACCAAAACCCAGATGGCGCTAGTGGTAAAGAACTGCCAATGCAGGAGACATAAAGAGACAGGAGTTTGATCCCTGGGTTGGGAAGATCCCCTGGAGGAGGGCATGGGTACCCACTCCAGTATTCTTGCCTGGAGAATCCCCATGGACAGAGGAGCCTGGCAGCCTATCTCCATGGGGTCTCAAAGAGTCAGACACGACTGAAGGGACAGAGCACGCATGGACGTACTGAAACCCAGCATATATATGAGTTTCGTTTTTCACATTGGTTTTATGTAAATGTAGTCTGTTTACATTTAATGTAACCACTGATATATTTAGGTTCAAGTCTACTGTCTTTCTATTTCTGTTCTATTTATCACAGTTGGTTTTGTTTTTTCCCCCATCTTGCTTTCTTTCTCTTCCCTCCAATACTGTTAGTTATGCTTTCTCTTATATTTTATTTGATGGGTTACTCCAGAGATTATAACATGTATTCTTATTAGTTCTACTATAAATTAGTACTTTTCTTTCTTGACATATTTGTTGTTGTTATTCAGTTGCAAAGTCGTGTCTGACTCTTTGTGACCCCATGGCCTATAACCTTCCAGGCTCCTCTGTCCGTGGGATTTCCCAGGCAAGAATACTGGAGTGTATTGCCATTCCCTTCTCCAGGGGATCTTCCTGACCCAGGGATCGAACCCACATTTGCATTGGTAGGCAGATTCTTTGCCACTGAGCCACCAGGGAAGCCCTTTGGACATATAGTTGGTACTTATTTATTGAATGAGTGAATTAATTACAAATAAAATGAGTCATCAAGCTTGGTTATATGCCTTCATTTCATTTATGACAGCTGAAGGATATATAAGTCATTTGACAGAGCTAAAATAGTGGAAGAATTATGATGAAACTTAGGGTTAGTGGATTCCTTCCAGTTTTCATGCTTGGGGTGGTATAAATGAGTGCTTTTACCAGTTTATGGGAAATGTAAGGGCCTTAGGATATTTTAGCCCCTTTTCTCCCCTCCTGCTTTTTGTGCTATTGTTGTCTGCTATTTTAATTCTTTATATATTTTAAACTGCACAAGACGTTGTTGTTGTCTTATGTCGATGCCTGTTTAGGTTTTGGAACTTTACTTTTTCCTGTGCTCTTTATTCTGTCCTGCATTTTCGTGTTTGTATCTGGGATACTTATCTTTCTGCCTGAAGAACTCTCATTAGTATGTATTTTAATTGCAATCTGCTAGCAGTAAGTTCACTCAGTTTTTGTACAAGCCTTTGTTTCATCTTTATTTCTGAAGGATAGTTTTGCAGCCGTATTCCAGATTTACATTGATCTTTTCTGAACACTTTGAAGATGTAATTCTCATGTCCTTGCCTTCTGTTGAAAAGTCAGTTGTCAGTTGTATTTTTCCCCCACTCTGGCTTCTTTTAGGCTTTTTACTTTGTCTTTGGTTTTTCTGAAACTTAAGCTTAATCATAGTGTGCCTAAGTGTAGTTTTCTTTGTGTTTATCCTGGCTGGGGTTATTAGCACTTCCTGACGTGTGACCTTTTTTTTTCATTTTTGGGTAATTCTGACCTGGTGTCCTCAAATATTATTTCCCGTATTCCCCCCTGCTTCCCTCTTAAGACACCAGTCACACTTGCTACATCTTTTCACTTGTGTCTCGCATGCTTTCTTCTGTTTTCTTTTATTAACTTGGATATTTCACCTCATTGTGGTAAATAACAAGGAACCTGATAGATAGCTGGATCGAGTATTGCGTGTGGTTTTATAAGAAGCAGCCAGAAGTGCCGCGCCCGTCGGCTCTCCCGCCGTCAGTGACCGAGGGCTCCCGCCGCGCGCGCCCGTCGGCTCTCCCGCCGTCAGTGACCGAGGGCTCCCGCCGCGCCCGCCCGTCGGCTCTCCCGCCGTCAGTGACCGAGGGCTCCCGCCGCGCCCGTCGGCTCTCCCGCCGTCAGTGACCGAGGGCTCCCGCCGCGCGCGCCCGTCGGCTCTCCCGCCGTCAGTGACCGAGGGCTCCCGCCGCGCGCGCCCGTCGGCTCTCCCGCCGTCAGTGACCGAGGGCTCCCGCCGCGCGCGCCCGTCGGCTCTCCCGCCGTCAGTGACCGAGGGCTCCCGCCGCGCCCGCCCGTCGGCTCTCCCGCCGTCAGTGACCGAGGGCTCCCGCCGCGCCCGCCCGTCGGCTCTCCCGCCGTCAGTGACCGAGGGCTCCCGCCGCGCCCGCCCGTCGGCTCTCCCGCCGTCAGTGACCGAGGGCTCCCGCCGCGCGCGCCCGTCGGCTCTCCCGCCGTCAGTGACCGAGGGCTCCCGCCGCGCGCGCCCGTCGGCTCTCCCGCCGTCAGTGACCGAGGGCTCCCGCCGCGCGCGCCCGTCGGCTCTCCCGCCGTCAGTGACCGAGGGCTCCCGCCGCGCGCGCCCGTCGGCTCTCCCGCCGTCAGTGACCGAGGGCTCCCGCCGCGCCCGCCCGTCGGCTCTCCCGCCGTCAGTGACCGAGGGCTCCCGCCGCGCGCGCCCGTCGGCTCTCCCGCCGTCAGTGACCGAGGGCTCCCGCCGCGCGCGCCCGTCGGCTCTCCCGCCGTCAGTGACCGAGGGCTCCCGCCGCGCCCGCCCGTCGGCTCTCCCGCCGTCAGTGACCGAGGGCTCCCGCCGCGCCCGCCCGTCGGCTCTCCCGCCGTCAGTGACCGAGGGCTCCCGCCGCGCGCGCCCGTCGGCT